ATTTGGCAGTCAGAGGAATTTTTCGAGTCTAATTATTTCTTAATTGGACAGCATTGAGTCTTATTACCTATTAATTATATAGCCACTTATTGATCCCAAATAGGTAAAAGCCAACCAAAAAAATTTATAGCAAAAACCCAATTGAAAACCTGTCCAATTAATTTCTAATTGGACAGGATTCCAAAATTAACGAAAAATCCAGCTTTCACCTATTTGGGATTAATATGTGGCTATATAATTAACTCAAAAATACTGCTGGATTATCTCTGAACTCAAGACATAAAATGTTTGATTTTTACTTACCTCTGGCTGGAGTTGAATGTCTGCAGCTGCACAATCATTTCCTCTTCCAATTTCGACAGCACCGAGTATCCATAGCTGGTTAGGAGTTCTGTTACCTTCAGTTCGTAAGGGATGATTGTCCCATCCTTCTTTAAATTGCTGAAGGTGTCTGTTAATTCTTGGAAGAAAAACATAGTGAAGGCAAAACATATGTTCTTCATTGCCAACATCAAGGTATTCTGATTGCTCAAGATAGACAAACACAGAATAATAGATATACAGACAACCAACAAACAGATCACGCCAGAATCTCTCGATCCTCTGGTTATGCACACTGGGGCCTGTTATTATGCTACTACGATCTGGTCCTCTTAAGGGATGTGTAAGCATGAGCCAAGCAACACCAACATTTACCTTGGTCAGTTCGAACTCTTGATGGAAGGCCATTTTCTACCACAGCACCATTAAAAAGGTCTAGTACAGTCTCTGACTTGTTGTTACCACTGCATGCAGCAAACATGACTTTTCTCGAAAACCCATCAATTCCAGCATGAATGACAAACTTCCATCTGTGAAAGAGGTTGTGTTCTGTCATGTTCAGGAATAGTGAGGAAATGTTTGGTTGCCTTGTTCATTTGTTGAACATTGATTCTTTTGTAGGGTTTTGTTTTCTATTGAATTACATCAATATAACAAAAGACAAGGCAAAAAAGGCATAAATCTTCAGTTTTAATGATGAAATTATAAATGATTGTAAATGATGTTTTGCTGAAATTACTCTACTCTTTTTAACAGCCTTTGATGTGGCCTTGACAACTTACTTCAAACATGCATGGGACTCTATTACTATCTACTATTCAGTATAAGATATTTGTGATCCAGTTCAGTATACACACTTGACAAAGTCAGAAAGGGAGGAGGGAACCCTGGGCATACTAAGGGAATTCGACATTTAGTACTTTCCTAGGTGTAAAATTTGCCATTAGTAGCTGAGGGAGAGGATATTTGAAAAAGTTCATATTGTATATTATGTTGTCATCTTGTTGAGACAGGCTTTGACTTAAACAACTGTCCCAAGGGTAGAGAAGTTGACAGAAAAAACTGGAAAATGTCAATTTCCCCTGGTAAACTTTTACAAGTGCATTACTGCAAACTGATATATGTATGTATGCTTACCTTATAAGCTTATGATTGCCGTCTAAATGCCACAAGGCCAATGGTCCTCTGACACTATACACTCTGCGATGAGTGACCTTTAACTGAAGTGCTCTGATTGCAGTTCCTTCAGGATCTGTTCTTCTTAGTGACTCGCGTACTCGGTTTTCTTGAACCCTGATTCCTCGAGATAAAAGGTGCCCACGCATAGTCTTATATCCACAGTTAGGAAATTCATGACTTATAGATCTAACAACATCATCAAGTTGACTATTGTCTATAGCAGAAATGTCCCTCTCACAGAAAGACCAAATCCATGCATTCTTCTGTGTACTGTCTTGGAGCTAACACACAAAATCTTTGCTATATCATTAACTGTGAAGCCATAATCCAGATAAAGCTGTAGCTGTTCACATGGTATGTCAAACTTTGGTCTCCCTCTATTGTGAGACGATATAATTGGTGGAATAAAATTACCAGCATTACCGTCTATTTCGAGAGTAGCTATGCATGACAGTGCAGATTGTAAATAACCTGCAATGGTTGCTTCTTTTTCGTAAGATTGACCGAATCTTGCAATAACGTCTATGAGCCATTCCAATCGATATCTGACGTAATCGAGATTCACATTGGTGCCAATACCTGCTTCTAGGTGTCTAAGTATGTCGAGAAGAACGTCTCTAGCATTATTAGTAAGCAAATCCTGAGTAGTACAGTGTTGCCCCTCGTTGGCCGCCATTGCCATCGGGTTAGCTGTGGTGTTACATAGGAAACCCACGTTTCCAGTTGGGCTTGCTGTGGTACGGCACTTGACGGTACGGCACTTGCTGGTACGTCAAAAGGTACGACATATTACGGTACGCCACTTTCCGGTACGACATATTACGGTACGCCACTTTCCGGTACGACATATTACGGTACGCCACTTTCCGGTACGACATATTACGGTACGCCACTTTTCGGTACGACATATTACATGTCATGTTTTAACATATAACATTATAGAATATGCCAAGTCACCGAACAGAATAGCTTATATAAGTCTTCGGTATATCACATAATAGTTTGCTACAAATCGATTCAAAATATTGTCCAAATCCCCCCTCCATAAAATACAACTGTTTTACAATTATTATAATCATGTAAATATATTGATTTAATAATTATTAAAATATTTTACCCGGTATTGGGGTACTGCGACGACTGCACATTTATAGTAGCAGGAGCTGGCTGAAAGGAATGTAAATTATATCCAGTATTGGTACATGTAGCAGGTGGCTGTGCACTGTGCCAAGTACTTGAGGAAGGAAGGGGCTGGTATGACTGGACACTATAAAAATTACAATCATGATNCTTTTACATTGTTTCTGAAGTGGCTCATGCATCTTAATTTAATAGCATCTGGGAATCCTGCAGACATAGCTTGATGTAGTGCCTTTTCCCCATCTGTTCCAAATGACCTGAGGTTTTTTCTTAGTCCAGGGCAGTTCTTTTGAGTTACATACACAAAGTCACTAAAGACATCCTCAGTCAATGACTGGCTGATAAGCAAAGGGCCAATGCAGATAGGATGYTCYTGAGTACGTTTGGACTCTAACAGTAGGTCTTGGTATGTAGTAGGGGTTACAGTAAACCGGCCAATGTTGAAGGTAGGGTCAACAGTCAAGRYACTAGATAAGATCTCAGAAGTGCAGTATGWCTTTAAGTTTTGCAGCTGCGTGTTGCTTGCTAACACCAGAAATAGAGGATTGGGGTGGGATTGGATGCTCCTGATAAAGGAGTTTTTGGGCTCATTCCATTTTTCTTCAWTGGACATAGCAAGAAGACTTGCAAGGRCATCATTARATGTCGACCCTGTAGAGGAATTCTTAGATGCTTGGTTTAGGTTGTATGCTTGCTTCCTGTTGCGTGGTGTTTCTGCTGAACTTTGTGCATTTAATATGCCTCCTATCTGCCTAGTTGTTTTTGGACAGCCTCTCTAGGTGTTTCACTCTGGAGGTTCAATCTTTGGTTTCAGGATATCTTTGGTGGTTTGTTTAGTCCTCTGATAAGAAACTTTATTTTTCTTGGCATTGCCATGCGCACTTATCTGGAATGGGTGCTCTGCTGCTGAGAAATTATATTGCACTAAAGCAATATTGCCAAGAATTTCACCTGGTTGCATCTGACAGTATGAAATCGTTCTTTTCAAATCAGGAGAAGATGAGAACCTCTTGTACTTCCGAATGAGATGCTCTTTGCTGGCACCTTTCTTGGCAGATTTAATAGATTGATTATTATTAAACTGCAGCAGAAATGTGTGGGTTGGAATTCCCAGCTGCTCATATGCCCCATTGTCATCAGCTTCTATGTCTTCTATTGTTACAACTCTCAAGTCAATGAGGAAGGCTACATTTATTTGCACTCTGTATGGCTGTTGCTTGCASAGCACATTTTCCGAGTGAGGATTTCCCAAAATATTTAAGATCTTTTGAGCTGAATAGCTGTTGGTGTTAATAAATTGCCAGATTTCATACTKTGGGAGACTGGACATGAGTCCCTTAATTGTAATTATGGYGACACAAAGCTTATATATCGAGATGAACAATATGTCCAAGTTCGGTGRTCATAGGATCAATATTGGGCTATTTACMGCCAATTAAGTATGTTAAACTTTATAAAGAAATGYATGGAAAACTGGACAAAATTGAGAAAATGTAATTAAAAGCCTGGTAGTGTGGCTAATATGTTACATGTATATTCCTTTCTATATAATCTGTGAATTTTCAAATAATTTACATTTATAGCAAATAAGCTTCTTCTGCAACTAGGCCTCCAGGCTCAAATAGAATTACTCTAGTATATACATAATCTGATCTAAATTATTCAAAAATGTATAAAGAGTAATCTATTCATACTCTAGAATCAACAAAAATATTGTAAAAAATAATTCCCAAGAGCAAATAAAGTATTGTATTGTATTACAACACTGCATGCATTATACCCTAAAAAGCAAGAACTAAATCACTAAATAACATAATTTTCTTTTCATAACCTTTTCATAATATCCTTACATATTGTACATTTCMCAAACTTTGCCTAYGATGCTGAGTATTCTATTTGTGTTATTTACATAACAATAGATTTACAATAACAAGCAACAATATTTTTGTATGTTTTTATTCTCTTTTTTTAACATTATGTACGGTCAGCGGTCTTCCAACATGGCGGCCACGAATTTATTGGCTCTCGTAACAATCATGTTTACTGCACTAGCGTTCGCCCAGACACGTGTCTTTAATCGTGAACTCGAAGATAAATTATCTATTATTAGTTATCTTGCCTCTAAATGCCAAGTTAAGGCCTTCTTAATCACCAAACGCCCAAACTTCAGGAGAAATATCTTCTCGAATCAAAGTTCAACTCTCGTTGTGTGTAGCCTTTTACTACTCAGTGGTGACATCTCTATCAACCCTGGTCCTACGAAATATCCTTGTGGGATTTGTAATAAGGCAGTTAAGTGCAACCAACGCGGGATTCAATGTGACTTCTGTGATGTTTGGAACCATATTCGTTGTCTAAATATGARCRCTCATATCTATGAGGCACTTGCAAATTCATCTTGTGTGTGGGAATGTTGTAATTGTGGCCTACCAAACTTCTCAAGCTCACTTCTGGATTCTTTTGCTGATTTAAATTGCACAAACCGGTTCTCGACCCTTAGTGGTTCATCTGAAGACTTAGAGCCTCCACTGTTTACTTCGTCTCCGGACCAGCTTCGACAACAAGTAAGATCTACACCATTGCTAGGATCGCCTTTTTCATCTCAGGCAAATGGTAAGCCCAAAGAAGAAGAAAAACAGAGACGTTCAAATAAAAACAATTTAACCAAGATAAATGTACTGAGCCTTAATTGTAATAGTATCAGAAGTCAGTACAAAAGTGKACTTCTTAAGGCTCTTGTTGAGTCTGAGAAACCTCATGTGATCTTGGGCTGTGAATCGAAGTTGGACTCTTCAATTTCCAATAATGAAGTTTTCCCGAGGGATTATGAGATCTTTCGCAAAGACAGAATAAGTGTTAATCCTGGAGGAGGAGTTTTCATTGCTGTCCACAATACTATTCTTGCAACACATCAACCAAATTTGGACAGTGAAGCAGAAGCTATATGAGTTAAAATAGAGTTAGTCAAGCAAAMACCTCTATATCTAGCCTCAATCTACCGACCAACTGACAATCAAGAAGAACTTCYCGATGAGCTTGAAAAATCTTTGCTCAACSTTCAATCCAATGGATGTCCTCGTGTTGTAATTTCAGGTGATTTCAATGTACCAGATATTAATTGGGATGGTCTATCAATATCGTCAAATCCACAATATGGCCTATCCTTGAATAAAAAGATGATAAGTATGATAAGTATGGTATCATTTCCAACTAGACGTCAATCTATATTAAACCTTGTTTTAACAAGCCATCCTGACATAGTAACAAATATTCGAAGTACAGAAGGTATAAGTGACCACTCGGCAGTATCTTTTGATCTTAATATGTCAGTGAAGATTAACAAGAAAAGGCCAAGATCTGTATACAAATTYAATAAGGCTGACTTTAATGAAGTGAGGTCTGAGGCTTCAGAACTTAKCAAATCCTTCTTTGGTAGAAACCCAATTGATTATTCTATTGAGGACAACTGGAAATTTTTCAAGGCAGGCCTGTTAGAAATCCTAGACAGAAGGGTTCCTAAAAAGAAGCTGGGTACATGGAATAATGCTCCATGGATTTCAAGAGACCTAAAAAGGTTATTAAGGAAAAAGAAAAGACTTTATAATTTATACAAGAAAACTAATAACCCAGCGGACAAACAGAAATATCGCAAATTCCAAAAATACGCAGTCAAGGACTGCATGTGGCTAGTGCTTTGATATGACTGACTCAATTTATTTGTGAAAACACTGCAGTTGAAATGGGGTTTTCTTACTCTAGCAGTCTTTCTGATTTTTAAAAACACTAGTTGTATTCGGAGGTTGATGCAATACTTCAATACTTCCCTTCAGTTTGTATCTTTTTTCTTTTCACTTTTTAAATTTGCACTGTTCCTTTATTCCCG